CTGGCCATTTTTTGGTTGCAGCCATCATTGTTGTTTGGCGGGCCCGGGCTGGGGATTCGAACCCGCCACCTTAGGTGTATGTGGCTGGCGCCTTAGCCACCTGAGCCACAGGCACCGAGCCCCAAAAGATTTTTTTTAACAACCATTTACAGAATATATCACTTCTGATAGTTCTGAACATGAACAATTTCAACAGCACAAAAGCCAAAAAAAAAAAAAATCAGAAAACATACCTTGCTTAATTTTGCCCCCAAACTGATCTTCCAAAAGCCCATGGACCACTAATTTATAGATTATGGCTTGAGCTCGCTCCAGATCAGCTAATCCCAATGCTCTCTTTATAGGCGACCGCATGACTGCTCGCTTCACCATGTGTCGCATCAAGAACTGCAGGGCTGCACGCATCTCCACATCTTCGTGAACAACTGGAGAACTTGCACAGTCTGAGTTGTGGCCATTTTCAGCCAGAACTTTTGGTATGAGCAATAGCTCAGCATATTTACTACAGCCAAGAAGAGCACTAAGTGATTTCATAGCACCGAGGTAAAGATACGACAGCTGGACTGCTCTGATTTCGGACTGAGCTATGTCATGATTTTTGGACATGTGTTCGTGATTTTTTCTTTTTCCTTCTGTTATCTGATGTTGGGATTCCACACCTGGCAGTGTTGGATCTAAAGAAAATGAAGCTATTTCATTTTCTGATTTGGAGCTTGTGGTACCCAGACTTTTGACATCATCAGATGTTAAGCCTGTTCGTGTATCTAAGGCAGATTCACTCTCCGGTTTCTGCTCAACATCCCCTTTCTCCTCAGACTCATGCCGGTGTTTCTTTTCGTGTCGCTTGGCGCTCTGTTTTCCCATGTCTTCATGAATGCCAGTCAGATATGTTAGGTCCAGCAGCACAGACGCAGTCAGGCCTCGGAATCGCGCCACGTCAAACGGCAATGGTTCACAGGGTTCCAGATTATACAATGGAGTATCACTAGGCGACCAAAAAGTTGGGAAGCTTTAATAAAGATCAGAATGACACAGGAAGAAGCAAGTGAGGGAAAGACAGGAGGAAGGTACAGAAAACAATGCAGACAAAATAAGATGTACCATGTACATAATACAGAGAATAATTTACACAAACTAGAGAAGTCATTACAAACACAGATAAAAATGAGTCTACTATGAGAAAATGGGGAGAAGTGAAACTAAATGCAAAGGCAATGAGATGTGCATGTACTTTCAAATGAGAATGTTCACTATTATATAATACACACATAAGCAAGAGTCAGCAACCTTTCTGGAAAGGGCCAGATACACACAGCAGTAAATATTTTAGACCTTGCAGTGTATATGGTCACTGTGGCAACCATTCAACCTTGCCATCATAGTGCAAAAGCAGCTCTTGATATACCTAAACAAATGGCTCTGTAACTTAAAAAAACAGGGGGTGGACTAGATATAGTTTGACGTAAGGTATTTGGAAAATTTGTGTGAGAAATCTAGCTTATGATGTGGGTAATGATATTTATAATCTATTTTAGAGAGGACTTTGTTTCATCAAAAAAATTTGCTTTAGCTGGCTGCTGTAGCTCAGTGGATAGGGCACTGGCCCTGCACACCAGGGATGGCAAGTTGGAACCTCCCCTGAGCTTGATTAACGCCCCCCCCAAAAAGGAAAACATTTGCTTTGTAATTATCAATTAATGCTTCTCGTTCACAGTTAAGCAAAAATATCATTACATATTTCTTGATATTGGCAAGAGTTTCCTGATTTTAAAAATGTTATAATCATACAAAATGTTATAGAAAGCATTAGCAAGTATGAAGTTTTGTGCTACTAATTTGAATTTTGGTTCCATATTACTTTCCTAATCTTATTTTCCCTTTGCTTCATTTTTCTCCCTTATTTTATTTATTTTGCTATATTGTATGAATCTTAACAAAGCTCCATAAATCCTTTCTGAAATAAGGCAAACACTCAAAGAAGAGACAGATATTTTCATGTAACTCTATAAAATTATCATTGGTTTCTTGGATGGAGTAGAGGAGGTAGTAGTAGAGTCTACTCCCTAAAATTGTATTTAAAGTTTATGTATGTGTATGTTTCAGCTTTCAGTCCATAGCATTCACTGAATTCTAAAATGATATCACCTCCAAACAACACTAGGAACCAGTGTTCTAGATATTGTTCCATGTCATATAAACATATAACTTTATAGGAATATTAGGTAATAAAATGAATAGTTCTATATCATCAATAAATCCACATTTTCAAATAATACAATTACATACTACAGTAGATAAATGAGTCCCATTATCAAGGGAACTATACTTGACATATAGTTTGATTATTCCCTAGCTGAAATGGTTAGGACCAGAGTGTTTTAGATTTCAAATTTTTAAAATTTTGAAGTTTTTACATTGCACTTAGTGGTTGAACATCCCAAATCTGAAAATCCAAAATCTGAAATTCTCCAATGAGCATTTCCTTTTAAGCCAAAATCCAAACTCTTTTTTTTTTTGAGACAGAATCTTACTTTGTCACCCTTTGTAGAGTGTTGTGAAGTCATAGCTCACAGCAGCCTCAAACTCTTGGGGGCGAGCAATCCTCTTGTCACCATTTTTCATTTTTAGTAGAGATGGGGTCTCACTCTTGCTGAGGCTGGTCTTGAACTCATGAGCTCAAGTGATTTATCTGCCTTGGCCTCCCGGAGTGCTAGCTAAGATTAGGTGTGAGCCACTGTGCCCTGCCTTTTTTTTTTTTTTTTTTTTGAGACAGAATCTCACTTTCTTGCCCCTGGTAGAATGCCATGGCATCACAGCTCAGAGCAACCTCAAACCTTTGGGCTCAAGCGATTCTCTTGCCTCCGCCTCCCAAGTAGCTGTGACTACAGGTACCCACCACAATATCTGGCTATTTTTAGAAATGGGGTCTCATTCTTACTCGGGCTGGCCCTGAACTTGTGAGCTCAAGTGATCCACCCACCTCAGCCTCCCAGAGTGCTAGGATTATAGGCATGAGCAACTGCACCCAGCAAAAATCCAAACATTTTGAGCACTGACATGATGTTCAAAAGAAATACACATTGGTGCACTTCAGATTTCAGATTTTTAGATTTTGGATTTTCAGATTTGAGATACTCAAATCAGTATTTCCTTTTAAACATTGAAGTGTCTATTTCACACAAATCCCTTCTAAATTTCAAACACACCAAAACAGTTTAAGTACTCAGTTTGTGTCAAATAAATATAATTTTCTTATCTATTCAAAATGTTGTAAAATGTGGGGATAGAAATATGTGCTTTTTGAAAAAGGAAGAATACTTAAAGTCACAGATAATGTAAAGCCTCATCTTAGTCACTCAAGCATTCCTATCCTATATTCAGAGCTCTCCCAACATAAAATGTAATAAACAGATCAGCTTGACTGACTTTTTTTTTTTTTTTGAAAAGCCTCAAGCTATCCCCCTGGGTAGAGTGCCATGGCATCACAGCTCACAGCAACCTCCAACTCCTGGACTCAAGCGAGTCTCCTGCCTCAGCCTCCCAAATAGCTGGGCACAACGCCTGGCTATTTTTTGGTTGCAGCCGTCATTGTTGTTTTGGCAGGCCCAGGCTGGATTCAAACCCGCCACCTTAGATGTATGTGGCTGGCACCTTAGCCACTTGAGCCACAGGCGCTGAGCCCAGCTGACTGACTTTTTACTATTCTAGTGCAAAATGGAAATGATCAAAATGCAAAAGAAAATAATAGAAAGAACATCCCAACTTAACTTATAAACAAGTAAGTATGCTTACCATTTCTTCCCCAAACAAAACTAAGAAACTATGTATTTTAAAAATCACTGGTATTTCAAGGAACACAGGTTTGAGAAATATTCCTTTATGAAATCATAGTACCAATACCAAGCTATGTTTTAAAAAAAGTAAACTGGCAGCTCAACCAAAAAGCTAATTACTCACTGTCCATATGCAATGGCCCATTTCACCATTAAATACTTGTTTGCTAAAAGTACAACTCAACAAATCATACCTGATGGTAATTTCTGCTTCATCCCATTGGACCTTGGCAGACGTGCTGCCCTCTTTGACCACTCCCAGCAGCGTGGCATGGCGCCCAGTTTGCTTGTGAACACACCGACCTCCAACTCTAAGACCAGCATCAACTCCTCCTATCACAGCCAGCACGGGCCACACCTCTATGCAAAGAGTCCTCAGCTGTGGCTCTGAGAGGTCAGCAAGGCCATGTCTATTATGTTTACCTTTCTCTTCCTCTTTGTTTTCCTTCTCCTCTCTCATTTCACTTTCCTCTCGGCTCTGAACCGAGCGGCTTTTCTTTAGCTTCTGACCTGACTCTTTAATACATATCTTAATTTTGTGCAGCCTTTCCATCATTTTTTTGTTAATACAGTAAGTCCAACGGTCTGTTCGGTGAAGGATACGGATGAGCTGAATAGTGGCCTCAGCCAGTACTGCTGCTACTGGGCTACATATGGGGTCTCCTGGAAGTAAGTCTCGGGGTGTGCCACGCATCTGCATATCACAAATTTTCACCTACATAAAAGAAAAGAGGGTGGAAAATATGTGATAGTAATAGTTCTTCTTAACTATCAGTCACTATAAATTCTAACATATAGAATCCCATGTTGAACTAGTGTTTGTTATCTTAATACTAGAGTATTAAACCCACTGGCCCCAACAAAGTGTAAAGAAATGTTACAGATCTACTAAAGTTTGAAGTATCTAGTGGTATGGTCCCCTGGAATAAACTGCCTTGTCATATTAACCTCCTGCACATGAATTCCAGACCTGCTAGAACCACCTGAAAGATGAATATATATTTGGGTAATGAGTACAAAAGCCCAGACTCCACCATTATACATGGTAGTAGGAAAAAAAAAACCTACCAAATATCTGTTTCTTTTTCCAAAAAAAAAAGAGGGAGAGAAAGACTATAGACCAAGGTATATGCAATTGATTCAATTTAGTACAAAAAAAGCCTTGAGAATATACTTGTCCTTATCCTCAAGATATCAGAATAATAATGATTTCTGGGACTATCTTATATTGTTCAAGGGGTGCAAAGCTAAAATTGTAAATCTTGACAACTGGAATAGTCACAATCTAGAAACCATTGCAACTAAGACACAGAAGTTAAAAGAGCAGCAAGCCTTGGGTTCAAATTTTAATTCTGCATAATAATCTCAGACAGTTATTTAAGCCTCAACTTTTCTTTTTTTTTAAGACAGTGTCCCACTGTATCACACCTCGGTAGAGTGCTGTGGCATCAGAGCTCACAGCAACCTCAAACTTTTGGGCATAAGCGATTCTCTTGCCTCAGCCTCTCAAGTAGCTGGGACTACAGGGGCCTGCCACAACACCTGGCTATTTTTTTGTTACAGTTGTCATTGTTGTTTAGCTAGCTAAACATGCCCACCAGCCCTGGTGCATATGGCCGGCACCCTACCCTCTGAGCCACGGGTGCCGCCCTATTTTTTTTATTACAGTTGTCAATTGTTGTTCATCTGGCCCAGGCTGGGTTCAAACCCACCAGCCTGGGTGTATGTGGCCAGTGCCTCACTGAGCTATGGGCATCGCCCAAAAGCCTCAACTTTTCATATGCAAAAAACTATACTAATAATAGTATTTATCATGATGGGCAGAGCCTATGGCTCAAAGGAGTAGGATGCTGGCCCCATATACCAGAGGTGGCAGGTTCAAACCCAGCCCCAGTCAAAAACTGCAAAAAATAAAAATAAAATAAATAAATAATAGTATTTATCTCCCATAGTTATTTTAAAGATTAAATGAGACTATACATATAAAGTGCTTATTGGTATACCAGACACACTATAAATGTTAAACCAATATTAACTAGTAATGGTACTATTTTTCTCAGGGATTCTGAAATTTATCAGAAAAGCGTTCTAGGTAGAATAAATTGATGGAAGGCTGAATGAATTTTTTCAAGGTTCACAGAAGTTGAAAAGGCCATCATTGTAACCAGATGTACCAAAACCTATTCGGGGCTACAAGAATATCATAAAGGCAAGGGAGGATACCAGGCTCTAGGCTGCCTCTTCACTTCATCTCCAGTTCAGTTTTTGTTCACTGTTTAAGAAGCTGTTTTCCGCTAACCTTAAATTACAACTCCTTGAAATTTTAAAAAAAAAAAAATGTGCATGTAAAAGCATAGAATAAATTTTCATGGTTAAGATTTACCATAAAAATGGTAAATTTAGGTAAATTTAAATAAAGGTCCAGCACTTTTTTTTTTTTTTTTTTGAGACAGGAACCTCAAGCCGTCCCCCTGGGTAGAGTACCGTGGCATCTCAGCTCACAGCAACCTCCAACTCCTGGGCTCAAGCGAGTCTTCTGCCTCTGCCTCCCAAGTAGCTGGGACCACAGGCGCCCGCCACAACGCCTGGCTATTTTTTTTTGGTTGCAGCCGTCATTGTTGTTTGGTGGGCCTGGGCTGGATTCGAACCTGCCACCTTGGGTGTATGTGGCTGGCGCCTTAGCTACTTGAGCCACAGGCGCTGAGCCAAGGTCCAGCACTTCTATTATGGAAAAATGAGATAACCTGAAAGCTTTCCATCATAAAATGACTAGAAATTCTTGAGACTGGGCTAAGCAACACTACATATCAAGTGAAAAGACAGGGTCAGGAAAAAAAAAATCCACCTACCAGCACAGGGACACCACAAAGAAGTTTTTCTCTGGTAGGTTTTAGATGACATGGAAAAAATTTTAACATTCCTCTCATAATGTTCAAATTTACACCATCTACAAGGTCTGAAAACTCCCATAGCAGAATGAAAGAAACGTAGTTTCCCCATCATGACTTGGCATCCATCATCCAATTAATACTATCTTATTACATTTAAGATTATTTCCAAATTTCTCTCTCATGTCCATAATTGCCAATAAAATCGATTATCCCTAAACTAATTCCTGTAATTCCTATAATTGCACATGGTTGAAGGTTGACTCACTATATTCAAATTTGCAAAATAGTACTTTAATATAAAGGCAATTTCTAAAACTAACTTTCTTCTAAAAGAATGAATTACCTGAGTCAGGTACTTTTTTTTTTTTTTAATTAAATCATAGCTGTGTATATTAATGCAATTATGGGGTACAATGTGCTGGTTTTATATACCAAGTCAGGTACTTTTAATGGTATAAATAGCTTATTATATTTATAAATTCTATATGATGATAAAATATTAATGAAAAACAACAAATATTCTTCTTATACCTAAGTATAAAAGTTTGAGGTTTCATTACCTTTTCGCCTGGGTTGCTACTATAGAACATTACACATGGGTACAACTCTGCTGCATCCACATCTTCAAAAGCTAATTTGGGTTCCTAGAGTATGGTGGAAGTGAGAAGAAAAAAGAAACAAAATATTTTTAAAAATTGATAATACTCAACCACATTAGAATTCAAGGCTCTTTTGAGATGAAACAAAGATTACAAGAGAGAAATCTCAATTAACCTTGCTAACCAAGGAAATTCTACATATAGTAAATAATCCTAATCTGTTCATCTGTTTCAAATTTTTACTGGGGTTTTACTACCTTTCTGTTGTTTGTTTGCTACTGATAAATATTATAATAACCAAAAAGTATTAGAGAAACAGGAGAAGAGAGGAGATAATCTATAATCCAACTAGCACTTGAATAACAGTTAAATATAAATAAAAATAAGAAAACATGCAATGGTTGTGAATGGATTTCAGTACCTCTCCATTTTTCCCAAAGGAAATGGTCCTGGCTTCCATATCTAACACACAGGTAATGAAATCTCCTTGAGTAAAGCTGGACAGTGTGAGAGTTTGTTCTCCATTGTGATAGAGGTTACCACTGTAGGCCCTATAGAGCCACATATCTGAGGTAGTGCGGTGGTTAAAGTCATGTACTGGCCAGCGAGAAACTCCAACACATGTACCTTCATTACCTCTGTTTTCCTTCACAATGTAAAACTAAAATAAAAGTAAGAATATTCATTAATACTCATAAAACTTGTTTACATACTATTAAAAATAGGAATGTGTTCATAAACAGAATTTATGTATTTATAAGAACATGTTAAGTTTCTTTTCAGTCTAAGTGAAAATAACATTAAAAAACTACATCAACTTATTCAATTTATAAAGACTCTAAAACAAAACTTATTCTTTACCTTCCAGAACATCTGGAATAACCTTTTTTTTTTTCAAGACAGAGCCCCAAATTATCCCCCTGGGTAGAGTGCCATGGCATCACAGCTCACAGCAACCTCCAACTCCTGGGCTCAAGCGAGTCTCCTGCCTCAGCCTCCCAAGTAGCTGGGACCACAGGCGCCCGCCACAGCGCCCAGCTATTTTTTGGTTGCTGTCATTGTTGTTTGGCTGGCTGGGGCTGGATTCGAACCCACCACCTTAGGTGTATGTGGCTGGCGCCTTAGCCACTTGAGCCACAGGCGCCGAGCCTGGAATAACCTTTAACATAACCTACAACACTACTTCACATCAAATGTGACAAACTATAAGACAACAGGGTGTGGCCCTAGCTCCTGTACTTTCCATCTCCAAATATCATTTACACTCTTGAGTCAAACTGATGTCACAGATGACAACAAATACTTTAAAAACAGACTGCCTTCAGACAGTCCCTCTGAACCAAGGACTCAACTAAATTATTCAGACTGAATTGGGGACAAAGGTGGGAAGCCCTGTGGTAGCAATACATACTGGGGTCCTGTTAACCCATGTTGTCTCCACTGTAATATATTTTGATTAGAGGTGTCCTAACAATTACAAACTTTCTTTCCAGGGATAACACATACAGCATATGGGATTATATTTCTTGTGTAGAGGCACCCTTTCAAGATACTATCTCAGCCCTGGACGGGCTGGAGTTGTACTGTACTAAACTGATGTCTAAACTAGATTTTTTTTTTTTTGATGGGGTCTTGCTTTATTGCCCAGGCTAGAATGCAGTGGTGTAATCGTAGCTCACTGTAACCTCCAACTCCTGGGCTTGAGTGATCCTCCTGCCTTCTCCTGAGTAACTGGGACTGCAGTCACATACCACCACATCCAGCTAATTTAAAAAATTTTTTGCAGAGATGGGGTTTGACTATGTAGCCTCAGATGGCCTCAAACTCCTAGCCTCAAATTATCCTCCTGCCTCAGTTTCCCAAAGTGTTGGGACTACAGGTGTGAGCCACTGTACCCAGCCTCAAATTTGTAAAGTTAATACAAAAACATGAAGATACATGACTTTTTAAAGTAGATGTTTATGGTAATGACATATGTTTTAACTGGTTATGCCTAGGACCACTAAAAGGCATAAACCAAGTTCAAGGTTACTATAGGCTGGTCTCATCCTGCTGCATGGGGTCCTAGTGATAGCTTTACTGTAAGATACCATGCCCAATGGCTCAGTGCCTATAGCTCAGCAGCTAGGGCTCTAGCCACATACACCGGGGTTGGCAGGTTTGAACCCGGCCCAGGTCTGACAAACAACAATGACAACTGCAACAAAAAAATAGCCGGGTGTTGTGGTGGGCGCCTGTCGTCCCAGCTACTTGGGAGGATGATGCAAGAGAATCTCTTAAACCCAAGAGTTTGAGGTCGTTGTGAGCTGTGATGCAATAACACTCTAGTGAGGGCAACATAATGAGACTCTGTCTCAAAAAAAAAAAAAAAAATACCATGCCCAAGAGCCAACATGATGGACTGTGTTAAAAAAAAAAAAAAAAAAAAGGACAGGGGGGTATTGGAGTAAATCCAACAGAGACTGCTAACTTTAGAAAGGCCTACTTGCAATGTTGACCCTTGGCTGGCATAGGGGAACCTAACTAGTAAATAGTTCCCTATATTGATAAAAATTTACCTAACTGATAAGCCTGGCTCATTGTATCTAGACTACTAACACAACAATATGACTTATGCTAAATCTTTTTTTTTTTTTTTGAGACAGAGTCTCACTTTGTCACCCTTGGTAAAGTGCCATGGCATCATAGCTCATAGCAATCTCCAATTCTTGGGCTCAAGTGATTCTCTTGCCTCAGCCTCCCAAGTAGCTGGGAATATAGGCACCTACCACAATGTCCAGCTATTTTTTTAGAGATGAAATTTTGCTTTTGCTCAGGCTGGTCTCAAACCTGTGAGCTCAGGGAAATCCACCCACCTTGGCCTCCCAGAGTGCTAGGATTGCAGGCGTGAGCCATCACGCCTGGCTCTAAATCTTTGTCTTCCTTTTGGGAATCTAAAATTTTAGTACAGCCAAGAAGAGGGTACCTACACGACCAGTGCAGTGCCCAATAAAAACCTTGGGCAAGGAATCTTTAATGGGCTTTCTTGGCAAAAACATCTTACACCTGCTGCTTTCTCTGCTGAGAAAGATATAGTTAGTCTCTGCTCTCTCAGAACTATTTTCAACACTGAGGGAAAATCTGCTATGTGTGATTCCTCATGGGAGGGATACAACATGGTTTCTTTTTTTTTTTGAGACAGAGCCTCAAGCTGTCACCCTGGGTAGAGTGCTGTGGCATCACAGCTTATAACAACCTCCAACTCCTGGGCTCAA